AGTAAGTGGTTAATAATAAGGACATTGTGCCTTACAAAAGTGCGATTTGTTCTGAATTCCATGCCCAGGATATAGGAATGCTGATTTGTACATTATATTGATGTACGTCTTGGAATTGTTGGTGTGTGGATTTTCCATTTCAGGAGGATATTTTATTTTTTGTAATAAAATATTTTGTCGTATTTGTTTGGGTCTACGAATATTTAAGGATTAGGTGACCACTAACCATTTTGCCACTACTCGACTCATTACTCTGTTGAATTTTTGTTGAGATTATGCAATCTAACAAGTTGCGGTGAGTCACAAAGCAAGGGAATGCTTTCAGACTTTGTGGAGTTTGAGTTATAATATTAAGACCTCCCTAATATGTTGTTTCAGACTTTAAAGCTGAAAAAGGGAACATGCAGATTTTCTCATGATTAACATATCATCCACATATAAACTGAGTTCACATCTATCCCGAAGTTGGGCCTTCCTGAATGGGAATGGCAATAGATTCATTTGATAGTGTGAAGAGAAGAAGAAATAATGGACAATGATTTTCATACATCCATGAAGAATAGATATAGAAACTGCCTCTTCTACACAGAGAAAGCCTTCTTTCCATCCAGGGTAATAGCGTATGTTTCCATCTTTGGGCTACAGTGAGGGAAAAAAAGTATTTGATCCCCTGCTGATTTTATACGTTTGCCCACTGACAAAGAAATGATCAGTCTATAATTTTAATGGTAGGTTTATTTTAACAGTGAGAGACAGAATAACAACAAAAAATCCAGAAAAACGCATGTCAAAAATGTTATAAATTGATTTGCATTTTAATGAGGGAAATAAGTATTTGACCCCTCTGCAAAACATGACTTAGTACTTGGTGGCAAAACCCTTGTTGGCAATCACAGACGTCAGACTTGTAGTTGGCCACCAGGTTTGCACACATCTCAGGAGGGATTTTGTCCCACTCCTCTTTGCAGATCTTCTCCAAGTCATTAAGGTTTCGAGGCTGACTTTTGGCAACTCGAACCTTCAGCTCCCTCCACAGATTGTCTATGGGATTAAGGTCTGGAGATTGGCTATGCCACTCCAGGACCTTAATGTGCTTCTTCTTGAGTCACTCCTTTGTTGACTTGGCCGTGTGTTTCGGGTCATTGTCATGCTGGAATACCCATTCACGACCCATTTTCAATGCTCTGGCTGAGGGAAGGAGGTTCTCACCCAAGATTTGACGGTACGTTGTCCTGTCCCCTTAGCAGAAAAACACCCCCAAAGCATAATGTTTCCACCTCCATGTTTGACGGTGGGGATGGTGTTCTTGGGGTCATAGGCAGCATTCCTGCTCCTCCAAACACGGTGAGTTGAGTTGATGCCAAAGAGTTCCAATTTGGTCTCATCTGACCACAACACTTTCACCCAGTTGTCCGCTGAATCATTCAGATGTTCATTGGCAAACTTCAGACGGGCATGTATATGTGCTTTCTTGAGCAGAGGGACCTTGCGGGCGCTGCAGAATTTCAGTCCTTCGCGGCGTAGTGTGTTACCAATTGTTTTCCTAGTGACTATGGTCCCAGCAGCCTTGAGATCATTGACAAGATCCTCCCGTGTAGTTCTGGGCTGAGTCCTCACCGTTCTCATGATCATTGCAACTCCACGAGGTGAGATCTTGCATGGAGCCCCAGGCCGAGGGAGATTGACAGTTCTTTTGTGTTTCTTCCATTTGCGAATTATTGCACCAACTGTTGTCACCTTCTCACCAAGCTGATTGGCAATGGTCTTGTAGCCCATTCCTGCCTTGTGTAGGTCTACAATCTTGTCCCTGACATCCTTGGAGAGCTCTTTGGTCTTGGCCATGGTGGAGAGTTTGAAATCTGATTGATTGCTTCTGTGGACAGGTGCCTTTTATCCAGGTAACAAGCTGAGATTAGGAGCACTCCCTTTAAGAGTGTGCTCCTAATCTCAGCTCGTTACCTGTATAAAAGACACCTGGGAGCCAGAAATCTTTCTGATTGAGAGGGATCAAATACTTATTTCCCTCATTAAAATGCAAATCAATTTATAACATTTTTGACAGGCATGTTTCTGTATTTTGTTGTTGTTATTCTGTCTGTCACTGTTCAAATAAACCTACCATTAAAATTATAGACTGATAATTTCTTTGTCAGTGGGCAAGCGTACAAAATCAGCAGGGGATCAAATACTTTTTTCCCTCACTGTATGTCTTGAGTTCATTCTATTTCTTACATTACTTGTCAAAATTTTTTAAAAATAAATATAGTTTGGTGACATATTATGCGTGGGAGCACTATTTCTAAACTTAACACCCTAGCCTTAGCTAACATTTTTTTACTTGGTATTTAGCAGCTATATTTGGTGGCAGTTCTATTTATAACTTGGAGGCGTGTCAAGCTTGTGAAGGCGTGTTGTTATGGCTTCTTGCTTGCAGCGGGTTGGGGGTAGGTAGATGGCCAACATTGATTGAGTTATTCTACAGAGCCTGCAAGTGTTTTGAGAAACGTGGACCCGAATGCACAACGCGGTTCTCGTCAGCGATCCATCTCGACCGTGTGTCCAGTGGGCATTCCTGAACTCACAGTGGGCGATCCTGTAACCGCTTCTGTGAGTCTTGGTAGAGCGATTGATGTGGCGAAAAGGGTCCTCTTCTGATTGTGAATGCACGTGACATTGGGGATGTAGGAGTGGAATAATATTGCCTGTGAAGGATCCGGTTTATCTGTGCAGCCATTTGAGTTTTGTTTAGGGTACAACCCTTTTAACGTATGGTACATGTGATAGAGATTTTGCTCAGGTTTTTGTGTGCACGTTGTCGAATTTATTTTCTAGTTGTATAATTAATTTGTTGGAGTCCCGACTTTCTCATGAGTACATATAAATATGAATATTCCTTAAAGGTGTACTGTTAATGACGTGATGAATGATCTTGAGAGGTGGATGTCGATGCCTTGGCATCAACCTGGAGGAAGTGATTGTCTTCTTAGTCGGTTTAGCCAGCGGGTGTCGGTCCTTGAGTAATTCTCTGTGGAGGTACCATAATGTATGTACTAGTGAGTTAAAAGCAGAGGTCATGTCCTAGAGTGTATGGAGACAGAGAAGTCTGTTCTTGACAAGGTTTCATGAGCTCTTGCATATTACACAATAATTTCCATTTCATCCATGATTGTCTAAGAGTTAAGTCCCTAGTGCAGCCCTAGTGAAGGAGTATGGGGGAGCTTCTGGACATAAATGAAATGTAGCCAAGTCGGAATTAATGCCCCTATCACCAATATCCCCTAAACCCCCAGAGAGCCTGTTGCCCTTTAAGTGGTCTTCATCCCACATCAAATATCTCGGCGTTACGGTCCCTTCCTCATTGCTCTTCCGGAATAATTTCCACTCCCCTGGCTTCAGGTGATGGGTGCCTCCCCGAGGTAATTTTTCGGGTGCCCCACTGTAAAATTTCGTTGTTTTTTTTTGAATCGCAAACTTGCACGCATCGATTACCCCTCTCTCTCACTCTACCGGTGAAGAAGGGCGCTCTTGACTCTCCCGGACTTATTGAAATACCATAGGGCGGTAGCCCTTCAGAACATGGAACGCTAGTTGGATCCTACGAAAATTAGGAAGAGGAGTATGTAAGGCCGTGCTCCCTCGCTGGGTTTTTTCCTTGCCTTGCCCAGAGGTAGACCCCGGAGCATAGAAACTGGCGTGGACGCTCTCTTCGACGCTGGGGATTTGCAAAGGGATAGACGTATCCCCTTCCCAGTTCCTCTCCATAGAAGATCGTTTTTCTGGGGTAATCCGACTTTGAATGTCGGGGGGAAGGTGATGATGTGGGCTAGCTGGAGTGAGTCCGGCATGGAAATTGTAGGTTATTTCTTGTCTAAGGCGGGCAGTGTGCTGTCCTTTAGTCAGGTGCAGGCTAAGGATAATATCTGGCGCTCCCATTAAAAAATATATTTATAGATCAGAGACGCGATTGTGAAAGCCCCCGGAAATAATCTTAGCAATTTATTTTACCCAATCATAGAATATGGACTGGCTAGAGGCCTATCTTCTGATGTATGGCGAGGGCTCCCGAACCAGGCTGGTCTCTCGGAAACTTTGGAATAGGTGTCTGTCCTATGAGATCCACCTGCAGAAATGGACACATTTGTTGGGCCCCTTAATCTGGCCCAAGATCGTTTCTACTAAGGCTTATCCAGATTAAGTTCATACATGGCACCTACATTACATAGATGCTCTCCGGGCATGGTCCACTCCTACCTTCATGCCTTCTGGTTATGCCTGGACATAGTAAAACTTTATTTGGAAACCATAGACTTTTTAAACAGTATTTATGGCACTAATCTCACCTCTTCAGTTGAAACCACTCTGTGAGGCCTGAAGCCGGACGCTTTGTTGAAGCACGGTGGTGAGATGTTAACTACCTCACTTGGTATGGAGGAGGGCGTGGTTCGATCCCGACTATGACGTTTGTATATTTGGAGTTTGCATGTTCTCCCCGTGGTCGCATGGATTTTTCTGAGTCCTCCGGCTGCGATTACATTTTCACGAAATCAGTCACTTCATTCAGCTATCATTTGTGGCCAAGTCGCTTCTGAAAAAGAGCTATGTAGCTCAGTGGGCCTTACCTGGTAGAAATTTTTTTAGTATTTATGATCTCGGAGCACTAGAAAATTGACAATTTGGAATAAATGTAGTTTCATTGATCAGAAAAGCTGCAACAATCCCCAATCCAAAATGCTTTAACTTATCCTCGACAACATACATATATTTATCATCCTTTCTCCTGTCATAATTAACGTGTCTCCTTTATGTGTGTAACGTTGCTACTTTAATGAATAAATGGCGTTGCAGTGGTTATTACATCGTGCTACAATCTGTAAAAGTCAAGTTCAGTTCCGGACCATGATGCAAAACAACACCACACTTAATTGGTGGTGATTATCAGGCTCGATCATCACTGTGCCTAAGGCTAACCGACATGTCCCTGTCTCTGTGTGTCTCTGCAGTTGTAATCATAATGAGTGCCAGCCCCTCCGCCTCTTCGGCTTCAGGAGTTCGTAAGGAAGATCTGGTAAGTGTTTGGTATTGCTTTCATCTCGCCATGTGTTTACAATATGTTTGAGAAAATCGCTTTAGGCTGAGTGTTGTTTCGGGTTTGAGTGGGTTGTTGGGTAAGCCGCATGTTGTGAACACAGCCAGGTCGCATAAGTTAGGGAATCTATATTCTTGGTTCTTTCGGTAAAGTCACGTAGAAGGCAAACCGTAAAATAATAAAAGAAAGAACCAAGAATATGAATCGCTGCAGTCATGAAAGCTTTAAATCAAAATTTAGGGAATCTAGATGAGGAACAACAGCCGGAGATGTTTCCACTGCAGTAAGTGGATTGTATGCAGTCTTCATGTGTCTGGACTTAATAGCCTAGACTTTCCAGTTCAGATTGTCTATATTAATAAAGACTTGATCCTTTTACATTGTATACAGTGTTTGCTTGCTGGTTACCTGCAGTTTTCCCACGATTGAAATGTGCTTTTTGTGAGCTTTCAGCATTAAGGGTAAGCCTCATGCATGAGATAAATGTTTGTCACGAACAGTAAGACAGTGATTACAAGCATTCTATGCCAGTGCTGCAAATAGATTTGTTGCGTGCACTTCATGGCTGGGTTGTTAAGTAACTGGGTCGTCTTGCGTCATTTGTTGTGTACATGTGACTTCTGTGTGTCTGCCTGCTGATGTATACTTATAGTAGATTATATCAGCTATGCCAAATTTACCAATGCATTCCAATTGCCTGGCTATTCTGGGAAGAAAGGAGACACTGAGAGGGGAAGGAAGGTAGTATCTGGTGTCATAAGGTTTTGGGAAATCCTTGGTATTGATCAATAATAATGATAGTTCAACAGCACTGTCAATCCACTAGTAGATAAAGGTCACCCCTTGCTTTCCGAGCGTGCAAGTAGATAATGGGTGGGGAAATCCAGAGCCAGTTCAGATGTCACTCGCCACTGATGTTAGTATGGCCAGGCATTGAATTCACGGCGGCGAGTTCATATAGAATTATGTTAACCTCTACGCTACCGTTCTACCCAATAACAAGGGTTTTTTTTATCCAATCTTGAGTTTTTAATCAAAGTTATTTGGGAAAAAATGCAAAAATATATGAACATAAACATTGAGAATATTTATTCAAAGACTGATATCTACCTTTTTGCTTTAACATGCATAACAAACTCCAGCAATACCTTCATTCCTATTTTGTTTAAACAATTTTCACGCGCTTCCTCTGAGCTGCGGTGTCACCTTCTCTAACACACTGGCAGTTCCATGCTGTGGACTCTGTGTATGGCCTGTCAGCTGACAGATTAAGTAGACTTGGCAAATTGAGTGAAAATGTTTTGGCATTTCCATGCAACCTTTTCTCTGTATCTCGCATTTACATGCAATATTATTGTATTTTCCATGGTACGTGCCATGCGTGTGTGTGGGTTTTCTCCCAGCACATCGCATATTAGAGAAATCACATTTAAAACATCCTGCTCTGGCCACTTTTAATTATTTAGGTACAGGCAGAACCCCACTGTGATCAATCACTGTGGCATCATTCACTGGACTCTGGCTGGAATGTATCAATACCATAGGACCATTGCTTGATGATTACTGTCAAACATCTGCGAGGGAGGCTTTAAAACGTCTTGTATCCAAAATTGGTGTGATTTTTGTTGGACTCTGTCCTTGCTGTTTCTATGTCCAATGTCCTTAGGTTCCCACAACTCGAAGAGTCACCTAAGGTTGAAGGTGTTAATCTCTTAGCTCGGTTTACTGCATTGGTAAAGAGGGAGGGGTTGGGATTATCACTCTCGTTGAGATGGTAGGGGGTGAGGGGTGGTGGATGTTGTTCAAAGCGGAAGATGAAAGTGGAAGTTTCCTTGACCACAATATTTATTTTACGATCGAGTCCGGTGAGTTGATTGCAACTATAAATCCAGGCTTTTATCGATTGTAAAGTCGACACAAAGGGTTGGCATCGCTCAAGTGTTGTACCAATCAACGATCTTGCATTTCAGCAACGTGTCGCGTTGGTTATTGTCGGCTAGGGCATGCACACATGCAAAATGTCTTTGTGACCTTGCCTAGGTTTGTGCTTATTCCACTTGTGAGTCTCTGATCAGTTTCTGAGGACTTTACAAGACTTGCACTATACTGCACTTTGTGTTCACCACCTGAGCGAAAAAAGCAGCGCTTTGTTGCACGAAGGTTGCTTGATGCGGCTGATGCACCCAGGGGTGGGAGGGGGATGTAAATTGGTTTAGCTAGGCTGTGTAATTAAAATCAAGATTTCAAGTGAATTTCTGTGTGATTGTCCCATTGTATTTGGTGGCCGCTTGATGGCCGGTCGGCCCTGGTAGTACGTATTATCATGGTTCTGGAATGTTTATGATGTTATGGGCCTGCTTTGAATATCATGAGACCTGAGCAGCACGAGAATGGCCTGGGAACAGTCTGGTTAAAATGTGGTGTTCATTGTGACGTGGAAACGAGGAATTTGTGCACCGCTCGCATGTTGCTCGGATGGCTTACTGAGCAGTGTAGATATGTGATGCTAGACAGCACGTGCTCTGTGTCTCTGGTAAGAGAGGAAGACTGGCTGCAGGCTGTGGAATTGGTCTTAGGGATAGAACAGCTGGCTCTGTCTATGAGAGCCGCCGGGCATGTTGAGGCTTGCATGTGACACTCCACTTGCAGACAACAGTAAAATAAACCTAAGCTTTGCACAGCATGCGTGCATTGAGGGGGTTGCCCACCTGCAATGCCTCATGTCTGTGTGTTTGCTGTTTGTGTCCCTTTGCTTTGTATGTCTGCGCACGTGTGTGTTGAGCTTCTTTCGCACTGTACTTAGCCAACTGTCGGAGGTGCGTGTTTTTGGCGTGAGTGCGTCTCTTCTGTAACAATCCAGCAAGCTAAAAAGTGTGCACAATTATGATTTGTGCAAAATTTCTTTGAGGGTGATTTGAATACGAGAGTAACGTAATGATTGTGTCTTGTCTGTTCTGCAGGTAAGGCCTGTGCCTCTACTACTGCGTCTCTTGCAGTCTGTTGGTGCGAAAAGCGACACGTTCACGGTGCAGCAGGTGAAATGCCAACACTCGCGACGCCTGTCCCGAGGCATGCGCGGTATGCCGCCGCTTGCCTGGCATTGCCGAAAATCGTGCCGATTCTGCTAAAACGAAAAAAAAAACCCACGTTGATGAACACTGCGACGTTTGCCACTCGTTTGAGAACTCGCTGTCAAATTTGAATGCCCTCGTCGAGCCAAAAGTGTCCGTTCAGACGAGTATTGAGGCCCAACTCATTTTCATGGGCAGCGTTGCTGTTGTTGACTTCTCACGAAGGAACATCTATTTCATTGACCTCGCCTATTCACAGCGACACCGGCTTTTAACTGAGTGGAACAACAAAATGGGAAGTGCTGCTCCTCCCTCCCCTCCTCCATTAAAGGAGGTGGGGGGGGGGTCATTAAGGAGTTGCCTAATTGTGCCTGCGGAGAAGGTGCAATCCATCAAGAACAGCGCCGCTTATTGTTCAACACACTTTTTCGGGAGGTACAAATGGCATCTATTTGGTGACCCCCAGAAGCCATGGACATGGTTTTACCAAATCAAGCGATGTCTATCGTTTTGCAAATGGCATACAAAAGTATCACAAAAATTTGGTAAGAAAATAAAAGCTTCATCATTTAAAAAAACTTCACATATCTTTGCATTTTGTTGGCCCCAAGTTTTTAGATAGTTTTCATTACTCATTACGCTTTTTGTTTCATTACATTTTCTAAAATATTGATGAACATCCAATTATATGGCAAATTGGCGTTTTATTATAATACTTGTCAAACAAAAGTGGTGTTCAACAAAGAAACTAGGTTTTAGATAAAGATCTTGAGTCAGCTTATATGAGGATGTGTATTATTACAGTGGTTTGTTGACTGTGCTCCGAACTCGGCAACCTCAGTTCGAGTCCCGGGCAATGGCTAACATCAATGGCGGATGACATATCTTGGCTGGCCTTGCGCCCACACCACTCCCCATCACCAACTCACACTGACCAGTGTGACCAAGTATGGTCGCACAAACACCATGACTGGAATGGTGTGGTAGAGGCCTTAGTCTAGTTAAGTTCTGTCATCGTAAAGGGCCGTAAATTAGACAGAAAATACGAGGCTTGCAAGACAGATGTAGGGAGTTGTAAAGCCAAGCTGTGCAAGAAAATAAAGAGGAAGATACATGTTCTGTGTTTCAGCGGGACAGCTACATGTAGTTCTGATGATGGGAGTTAGCTAGTCGTGACGGAGGCCTGTCATGAGTCACAAAAAAACATTCATGAATTATCACAGCCCTGTGGCATAGCACATGGTGTCGGGCAACAGCTCTGGAAGATGATGCACAGTATTATTTCTGGAGTAACTTCAATGCAGTGTGTCTGTTTGACCCAACACTTGGCAAGGCACCTTCTTTCGTGCCCTGTAAAGTGGTTTGCCGCAAGTCAATCATAAAACATATTTACAAGTTTTAGTCTGCAGATATGGGTTAGGCTGAATTAAGTTTTAAAAAATGCTTTATGGTATTTTGAGAAGCCATTAACAAACTTTTTTAATCATGGGTGGCTGGAACCCAGATTGTAACCCATGGTTATAGACTGCATGCTCAGACATGGTTATTATAAGTCCCTTGAGAGTCAGAGACACACCCTGCTCAATTTCTTGAACCCAGATCTCAGCATTGGTGGCTCTGTTCTCATTACTCAGCCGTTATGTGCTCGCTGAGAAGCTAGCCACCCAGGCTCAGGGCCTGTACCCAGGATCTTGATACGTCTGCCTCAGTGCTCCATCACAATCTATTACTGCGTGGAAAATCAAAGTTGTCCTATATAAAAAAAACACCCCTGCCATATGAATGGGGAATTCGCACCACTGGCAATTCAGCAGAGTTGAGCATCACCCCATACCTGTTTGAGCGGGGAGGCACTTTTGACAATCGAAGAGCAGAGTTTTCAGTTTCATTTATTTGTTATAGCCCTGTGAGCCATTCGGCTCTTTAATCGGGGGCAACCGCAACAAAATAAAACATGAACAAGAAAAACATCTTAAAGTGACTGTGACTGAGCAAACAGAAAATCGAGGAAAAAACAGCAAAATATTCCAGAAAAAGCACCATACACCAACGCTGTGTGCAAAAAGCCCAGTGGGATGCAAGTCAAACAACAACAGCCACAAGACAACTTAGATTTAGGCCATCAGTCTAACTCCATACTACAACAAATAAACATGACCAAACCAAAAAACTTTTCGAAATCACCAAAATAAAGCCATAAAAGCAATGTAACAGTGATCATAGGGACTGTGACCGAATTTTCACAATAAACGACATAAACAACAAGTAACACCAAACCCTGCAGCCATAGCTGGCTGCATTAGTCACTCCACAACAGCAGGAGCATCAGTCGGAGTATCACATTTTTAAATGCACCTTTAAGATCAGCACACTAAATCAAAATACAGCGGTCATCCGGAGCGAAACATTTTATTTTATGCCACTGAATAGCAGTGGCAGCTAGGGGTGTACAACTCCTCTATAGCAGTGTTAAGTGAAGATCTCATAGGTAGTGATTCAAGTTGGAGTTTATTGGCAATAGCATTCCAGACCCTGGGGGCATCAATAGCAAAGGCTCTTCCTCCAGTATTTGTATGGCAATAGGGAATGTGAAGCTGGTAAATGAGCGAAGACCTTAGGTCAAATTTGTTCTTTGAAACAGAGGAGGTCCAGCAGGTAGTCTGCGGATTTTTTTGTAAGTGCATCGTGAATAAATAAGATCTGATGCACAATCCGTCGATCATTAAGAGAAGTTAAGTTTGACCCAATGTAGAGATCACAGTGGTGAGTCCTATATGGGCAGTTTAATGCAAATCTTCAGGCCGAGTGATAAATGGAATCAAGCTTCTTCAGTGTACAGTTCTTGGGGCTGATTTATACACGATGTCACAGTAAACAAGTACAGGCAGTATGGTAGCTTTTATCAATTCCAAACGAAACATAGGGGGGAAGCAGTGCTTGTATCGATACAGAAAACCAATTTTTTTTTGTTTTTTTACCAATATAAACAATATGATCTTCAAAATTCAGTTTTGAATCCAGGATGACCCCAAGATACTTATACATCTTGACTTGCTCTATTTGTTAATTATTTAAGGAATGTAATTTGGCAAAAATATCTTCCTGCTTTAGTCCTGGTGAGAAGCATAGCACCTTGGTTTTGGAGGTATTCAGGACTAGTTTAAGAGCAACTAGCTGATGTAGTTTGTTGAAATCACCCTGGAGCTTAACAATGACGTCATCCGGAGAGCGGCCAGCAGTAATCAGTATCGTGTCATCTGCAGAAAGATTTACCCTGGAATGATCCAGGTCAGTGCCCAAGTCATTGACAATTCAGAGCTCTAACTTAGACTATCAGCACTGCTCGCTTGGTGCACTGGCATGGTCACTATGGTCTACTATATTGAGAGATAACCCATCTTGGAGGAGGCTTCTCATTTGATGGAGGTATCCTGCGCAGGTCATACATCACCTTGGCCAGTACATCAAGACGAAGCAACTCTACGACAAGCAGAGGCAGCACATCGTGCACTGCAAGGGTGACCCTCTGGGGGAGGTGTTCGGTGTGGAGAGCTTCTCCCTCAAAGAGCCAAGGTGAGAAAGACCGCTGTGTCAAGGAGTTTGCGACCCAAGGGTTACAATAATATGTACAACAGATGACCTATAGACAGCAAAGGGCACTGTTGTAACCACTGGATCGGTCCTGTCACACGATGTGCAAGGTGTGATGGGAGAACTGATCTAATGGTCACAACTTTTCCAATTTGCCGTATAAAATCTACCTTTGCATTGTTAATATTGTTTGTGCTACAGCTTGTGCTAATTTAAAATGTTCATTTCACACGTACCCTGTAAAACAATTCCGTAACTTAATTGTAATTGTACTATGATCGGTTTCAAAATATGGCTGAGCCAACATACTACAAAAGAGTGTATTATTGAACATTGATTTATATCTGCCATATTTTTTCCATTTCTTATATGACACTGTTTTTTCTCTGATTTCTATTTGATTGCTGTATTTCACGTTATTTGATTTGGTTTTGTCAGCTTGGTTATCCAGGTCACCCTTGCATATGAAACTAATCCCGGACTATTGAGTTCTCACCTGGTTAAATAAAATAAACTCTCATTGTTTACAGAAAGTGTTATAATCGGTTTAATATGTAAACCAGCATGTGTGTGAAATGGTTGTTCAGTAGCTTGCAATCAATTATTGACTATCGGACGAACATGCACATTAACCCTCAGTTGGAGTTGCAAACGGTGAAAAATCTAATTTAACATGATGATTTTTGTTTGTGGTCATTGGTGACCAGGTTGAGACCATCCACTCGCTAGACTTGAGAATCCCGTTTAAACACTGGACCAACCGGGAGCCTGGATTCCAACACCCAGGATCTCAGCGGTGCTGACTCCATGGCTCCGACACGCCCGTCATGAATGAGCCCCCTGCGCGACAAGCAGGAGCCCCCTGGCCGCCTCGTGCGCTTGTGTTGTTAGGTCGTGCCTCTCAACTCCAGCGTTATATCAAAGATCTTTCCTGTGTCTGCAGCTCTTCCAGCGGATCGGTGGGTGCACTCCTGGCAAAGGCACTCTTTATAGCTGCGACTGACAAACGCAAAGGTGGGCTCCTCACTCGTCACTGTTGCCCTGTGCCGGGCCTCACTATCTCGCGCCCTTCCTGTTCCGCTTAAGGGACGTGGCAGCGCGTGACGCTTGGTAGTACTGCGCCCGCCAAAGACACAATGACATAATTCTAGCCGCCATTGATTATTACGAGTCGGCGGGGGTCAGTGGTAATTGACGTGAGGACACGAGGGGGTTTATGTGCAAAAGAACCATCCACAATTGCCACATTATATATTAACAAAGAGACATGATCACGGTTGATACGTCTAGCGGAGGAAGTTTACGTTTTTCCGGAATCGCTCTTTGGCAGCAAAGAACAGATGGATCTTTGGTTCCGGACTTAATAAAGTCTCGGTGCTGTCGGATGTACAGAGAGCAGAGGGGGGTGAGGTCATAACAAGACAGTAAGAGCAGCATAGGATAAAAAAGTAAATCCACCCCCAATTATACCCATTTATTTCCCCATTACACAGATGTTGATGAAGGATTAAGAGAGAAGGCATTGTTTTGGTGGACAGCGGATAAGACTACTGATGAAAGTCAGTAAGCCTTTTCCGTTTAAGCAGATTGCAAAATGGTTTGGGAAAAATGGAAAATACGATTTTTTTTAAACAATGCTTTATTTGATTGGAGTGTTTACCCCCCATCATATCCTCTTTTTGACTTATGTATTGTGTATCTCAGTGTTTTGGGTGGAGTAATTGTATTTAAACTAATTTTTATTGTATTTTTTTACGCTGGTTAGAGTTTTCATGACAAGAGATGTATTAAATTTATATGAATAATTTTAACGGTTAGCCAGATATGAGTTTGTTGGGCCAGGGCTCCCCTTATAAGCATTTAACCGAGGTTTTATTTGATCTGCATTTATCACAATAATAATAATACCTATTTCAGGAGGTAATGCCCTTGGGATATTATTTTGCACGGAGGTGGAAATGTAAGTACCCCGAAAAAAAACACGCGTTTACAAGGGAACGGAAACTTAAAGGTCTGTACAGATGGGTCATGAACCCAGTTGGTTCACCACCTCATAGCCTAAGCAGGTTAGGAGTCTTGCAGAGCACGATTATCGTTTTGTGAACCACCAACTTCGCCTTCAAAGCGCTGCTTTAAAGGCGTGTACCACCACGCCTGTCCGTGGTCAGCAGTTGCTGTCTCGGTGGCAAATGGCTCAACTGAATGGGGTAGTGACAGCAGAATGAAGGCAAAGATTGCTTGTTTGGCGAACCAGAGATGGTTATTAAATCACATGCTTGTTACATCAAAGAGCAACGGTCTTGATGAAGTCAGTTTGTAGTCTTCTCTGTCAATATTTATGCGTGTGGACTGGCCTTAGAAGTACGCACACTACTTATTATACCTGGCGCTGCTATAGTAGCAGACAAACAGTCCAATTGACCGGCCCATTGCTTTTTTTGTCAGATAAGATGCAGTGTTTATTCAGTCAGTGTTGATCATCGTTGTCTTCGTCTAGTTGACGAGAACCTGTGGAATTTCCATCTAGTCTTAGAGACTGGATTTCATTTAGCCATTCTCTTTCAGTCGAGTCGACTGAAGCCATCAAAATGTCGTCCACTGAGTTATTGAATTTTTGTTGTTAGGTCACCAAATTCATGAACTCACTAAATTTTTTCATGTACATATACAGTAAAACCCCAGCTAGCTGGTCCCTGGCTAGCCAGGTTTCTCACTTAGCCTGATGAGGTCAGCTCATTCAAATAACCCCGATTACGAATAAAATGGAAAAATCTATATAATTTTTTTAAATTATAATTTATTTAGAATTTTTATATTACCTAAGAATATCCTATGTAATACATACTGCATAACAAAATGCACTATGCAATTTCACGTGTATTATATGCAAAGTGTGTTCTTTACTGATTGCAATAAAAAAAGGCCACGGCACAGAGAGGTTGCTTCGCTCTGTGTGCGTGTCTCTCCCCATATGTATCTGTGCTAACCCGTGATGCTTGGATGTCGATATATGTGTATGCGGTCTGTTTTCCAGCACTCTCTTGGATTTCACGCAACTTATAATTTAGCAATCTTTGAAATAACATATTCAACCAGACCATGCGTTAATTGTGTTTTGACCGACCGTCTGTGTTGCTTTATATAGTTTCTAAATTTTGCTAAACCCTGTGTTGATTTAGTCTGCTCCTCCGTCTTTGTATCACCTTGTGTATCTGTTAATTCCCTCTATTTGGGTGTCTGTATATATATCTGCGGTTATGTGTTTCTCTCTTAAATTTAGCTCTTCTGTACCTGATGAAGATTGCTTGTGTTGCAATCGAAACGTCGTATAGTATTAGTATAGTATTATGTTATTTTATTACGTCTTATTTCTACGTGACTTTACCGAAAAAACAAAGAGATGATTGCAATAAGTTTGTGATGGGGAAAGGGGCTATCACGGAGCGGGGGGGATGGGTGTTGGTGGTAGGGGGAGCTGGGTACCCATGGATTAATGGGCACAAAAACTAGAGTACTGTACAGCATGCAGACCGTAAGTACTTTCTATTGTCTTCACTGAGGCACACTTCAAACACTAATGTACGTAACTATTATGTACACACATGATGTATAGTATATGCAATACATGAAATATGCACATACACAAGCGTATTGTTCTTTTACAAGGATTGCAACTGTGGCCAAACTGGACTTGTCAGCTCGCCGGACCAGCCCTCGCCGCTATTAGTCTGGCTAGCCAGGGTTTTACTGAACAGCAAATTACCATTTGTGCTCTTCCACAGTGCATTTCTGTCTGTTAACATTACAAAAATTGTCGTAGTCCACGTCTTCATTCCGACTGGGTGATTTTATCGTAGTGCCTCTTCGGTCGTGGTTGGACAGCAGTTGTCGTCATCGTCACGCTTGATGATGTTCCTCCCACTCACTGTTGGCCTGCATTAAAATAATTCAATAGTTTTCGGCATTTGCTTTAATGAGCCAAATGACCACCTGTCAGACAGCACAAGGCACCCGGAGCGACGATGGCTAGCTGTCGCCGTGCTAATGTATTGGTGGGTGTCGTTTTGCGGAATGCAGATCACACGGGAGTGGGCGACGGAGCCGTGAAGGAAAGCTCATTAGCGGCAGCCGACGGGGACAACAAGCAGGTAAATTTAGGTGTGGCGTACGAGCACATTGGAGCGTTTGTGTGTGTGTGCTTGTGCGTGCGGTTGGTGCGAGCGTGGGAATCGGTTGGCCCACACGATGCAAAGAATTCACCCGCTTCTGTGTGTTGCCCCGTCGAGCTAATAGACGTGCGTGTTCGCTAGCACGTGTCGACTGTAGGCGAGGGGTGGGGAAACATTTGGCTCGCTACGACTTCGTATCGTGCGGGCCTGCAGCCACGTGAGGTCTCCCACTTGGAAGCCGCACTAATCGGGTGCGAGAGGGGAATGCTCTTCACTCGGCAAAGCTGGATTTATAATGTCAGCCTGCTCAAGGCACTTCTTTCGCGACAAGAACCTCCTCTTGCAGTGGCATAAGTGACTGAAATGCGTATTAATGTCTGAGCGCTGCCAAAAGGTATTTGAAAGTTTTTATTCGGCCCTCAATAGGGAAAAGGGTCGTCCCCACCCATGCCCTGAGGCAGCGCCACGTGGAGGCTGCGTGCGTGAGTGTGTGTGTGTGTGCTTGCGTGAGACGGCGTGTGTCTGCGTGTTGTGTCCTGCACCGTAGTCGGCTTGCCCACATAGAGGGAACAACAGGCACCCGTCTGCCTCTGTCTTCTGTGAGGAGCTCGCCCATAGTCTTAAAATGGGCTCTTGTCATTTTGTCAACGATTCTGAGGAAAAAAAAATGCGCTTTCTCTTTTGTAAAACTGGGGACAATTGACTTCAATTTTTTCACAAAACAAACCACCAGACATCCGCCAGATTGTTTCGCTGACGGCCATTTTTGGTCTGTAAATTTCTAAAGAATTATTTTTGTTGAGAAAAAATAGTTTTTCATTCCGCTTAATTGGTGTCAAAGCTTCTGCCCAAACATGTACAAGTTCATTCAATTGTGTTTGTGTGCATAGTTCTTGGACCCACGTTGGTGCCACACTATTAAGTGGAGTATGCATGGGAACATAGCTCAGTGTCGCACCTTATATGATGGCTTTGCCTAAAGTAACACCGCAGTGTGCACAACTATTTGCTGGTTCCATTATTGTAGCTGTCTCTGCTAAGGCGCTCTATAAATATGAGAAGTGTATAAATTAGCAGGTCAACTATAGCATAGTTTTTTCAATTATGCATTTTGAATGATAACCAACATTTGTAGTTGACTTCATATGTACCTATGCTGTGAGTATAATTTTGTGGTGCCGCAGTGGTTAGTGCACTAGACTACGAGCCAGACTACCAGAGTCTGATTTTGGCCACATCTAACGTCAGTGGCGAGTGATATCCAAACCAGTCCAGAGCCGCCCCCCCCCCCCCCATTTCACTAACCCGTACTGACCAGCATGGTGAAGTATGGTCAAACCATCGCAATGACTGACATGGTGGGGGGAAGGCCTTCATACATCCAGCACTGGATTAACAAAGGACTGTAAATGTAGCAGGGATCAACTGAACTAATTAGTCGTGGAGTAGATAAACTGAATACCACTGGGATGTAATTATACGGCATGGCTAACACATGAACTATGGCAATGTCAAGTTTCTATCATGGGCCCAAGACCGCCAATGGAGATGAGCATCGCTTGACACTCATTTAAGCATGCAAATACTCAAATGATTATATCTGCCATGTGGAGCATTTAATGTGTAGGAAGCCCTCAAATTGTCACCATGTACTACTAGGCAGTGCCCATCTCAATTTGGTAACCCTTTACCAGGAATTTCACATTGCTATAGCAGTGACCAACCATTGTTGCCTTTCCACAAATGGTACTCATTTTATGAACCCCAGAAGGCTGTGCGCATCAACCCCCTATCAGAATTTCAGCACAGACTTTTGCGTTGAGTGCTCTAACCACAGCACCACCCAGCGTGAGACATGATATTGACTGTTAATAAGCGTAAATGGGCTCAGGCAGGGACACGTCACTAGAAGGGGATCATGGCCGATGGACGAGACTGGTGACAGAATGGCAGTCAAATGAGAAAACACACCCGAGAGGACGCCACCACCTTGGAGATGGAGCGTTGAGATCAGCTCATACGCAAGAAGCGGCACGGATTGTGGCATCGCAAGACCATCAGGAATGGTGATGGTATGTGGAGACGTTCATCCAACAGTGACTAGAAAGTGGCTGATGATGATGACGACGAAGGGAATGGTCGGAAGACAACTTCCAGCAAAGTGTTATACACTTAAAGTAAACTATTTAAAAACTAAACTATTTTATTTTTTACCAGGTAAGGCTCACAGCTATATAGCGCTCTTTCAGGAGTGACTTGACCACAAATGATAGCTCAACAAAGTGGCTTATGTGAAAATGCATTGCAGCCAAATATTCTAAAAGCATGTTTATATACATTGAGGGAAACACCGGAGGACCCGGAGAAAATTCCACACAACCATGGGCAGAACATGCAAAGTCCAAATATACAACAGGCGTTAGGGTCGAGATTGAATCCACGACCTCCTGCGCACCAGTTAAAATCTTTCCACTTGTGAAATGCATGGCGGTTTGTGGTATGCACATAACTTGATTCGAACAGTCATAAAATGTTTTTTTTTATGTTTCTTGTCTCCAGGTGGCCCTGGTGGTGGACTCGGTAAGGCAGGGCGATTCTCCTCATGGAGGTTCCACCTCCACCCCCATGACAGGGACCACAACTGTTGCAGCGAAGCGCAGGAGAGACTCGGAGTGTGGTATGGCACTCGCTCAGCGGCTCACGCTGCTCGGCTAGCCCGGGTGTGGCGGTGGCGGCAGTGCGCGCATGCGATCTCGCACTTTAAGGGCCAGGGTTGGTGGCTATGTGACAAGACGTTTGTGAGACTTCCAAACCTGTTGGGCTGCGAGATGTTGTAGAGCAGTTGGGTGGGGTGAAACTTTTGTGCAGACTCTTGAGTATTATGTATGATGGGTTTTGTCTGGGTACAGCTGGCTTTCTCCCACATGTAAAACATGACTCATTTTAAACAAAACGGTTATCTGTCTCAATGCAAGCCCCTCCTGAAATATAGTCCTGGTACTCTGACACTATCCTGGATAAATGGGGCCGCACTCGTCTTCCTGCTTGGGAGCCCCGGTTTGTTGGTGTGGATTGCACTTTTTCATGACAGTGGAAGTCTTCTCCATAGGAAGATCACTCTTTCTCGGATAACCACTGTTGAATTCCCACAAGGTGGTGCTAGTTTTATCGTACCCGCAGGAATGATAGGTTGAACTGGATGTGTCTGGGCCCCTCTTACAGCAGACCGTGCTGTTATATGATGTGCACTTGGGTAGAGGGCAGAGTAATGTGCGGCGGCATCGCGATAAAGTGCGCAGGCAGTGCACCTGCACCGGGGCCCACAAGCTGAAAGGGCCGAGGCGGACAGAGGACCCTACTTAAATTCTTGCACCCATGCCCATATCAACATCGCTGCGCCACTGGTCCAGTGTACTGTCCTCGTCGTACGCATCGTCGCCTTTCACCCTCGCGCATTGGGCGTGGGGTGAAGCTGTTGCTGTCGCTGTGCGGGTGTTCGGGCGTTGCAGGCAGCGGAGTTGTGGCAGCGGGGTCCCCGGAGGAGGAGGATAGCGGAGCGAAGCGTCCGCGTGCGCCCAGCCCTGCGCCGCCGTGCTGGAACGATGATGACCAGGGCGTGCCCTGGTGGTTCCTGCGCTCCCTGCCACACACGCTCGACCGTGTCAGCACCGCCTCGTCCACTGACATCTGTAGCCGACGGGTACGCACTCGCACACGTGTGTGTGTGTGTGAGTGAGTTTAGGCATATGTGAGGAGTGGTAGTGTAGCGGTTAGTGCGCTGCGCTACGATTCTGGCGACCCGAGTTCGATTCCCGCTCACGTCCAACACTAGTGATGATATTTAATCTGAACTGGTCCTGGGCCTCCCCTAGGTGGTCTCAGCCTCAAATTAGTGCCTGGTACAATATGTAAAAACTTCGCCACTAGGGAGACAAAGGCGGTCGGGCATGGTGTTGGTCACCCACCCCCTCATGTGCCGTGCCGGCCTTTATAGGTGCTCGCTAACAGCACTTGTCCCTACAGTCTGTTAAGGCTATACGGGGGATCTTTGTCTTTGTTTAGTAGTATGGGAAGCGGTAGTGTAGCGGTTAGCGCAAATTGATGCTCGCAATGAGTGGAACTGAGAGTCGTGGCCATTTAAATGACCAGTTCACACAGGAGAACAGGACAGATCTACGTATTATGGGTTAATATAGTAGATAAATAAGTCAACTTTATGCATCATTAAACAGCACTTTGAATTATCAAACAAAAACACTTGCATATGCATGGTTTTCATAACACTTCAAATGTATTTTTACCCTCGGAAGTATATAATTAGCCAAGATAATATTACATTCCGAGTTGCACGAGATTATGTCACATGGCGCATGATGTCACGGGGAAGAGAAACACGCACGTGGTGTGTGATGTCATCACCTTGGCTGAAAGTGCTGTTGTATTTCTGTTTGTCTTACTTTGATTAATTTGTCTGTTTTTTATATATATTAGGCGAGTCTCTCACAGCAGCGTTAACTATGAACAAAAATACAACTCTTTAAGATAGTCATCGTGACCCCCTACGAGACAAGAGCGACAGGCAGAGCTAATATCCTCAGCCTTGGTTGGCAAGCAGTACAAATGATCTATTTTCTTATGGGAATATCTTTACATTATTTTACACAAGCAAAATTGTCTATATATGGTTTCTGTTCCGCCATCCTCTGCTGTGCCCAGGGCTATGAGACGGCAGTGGTCACGGACTCGAGTGATGACCTGTGGTTCCTGGATGAGTCCAACTCGGACCAGTTCAGCGTGGAGTTCGAGGTGGAGTCCATCCACAGCGAGGACTACGACGGGGAGGGCGAGGACGGCGAGAGCGGGGAGCGCTCGTCTGACGATGAGGTCTCGCGTCGATTCACAAACGGCCATAAAAAATATCACACGAAACCAAAAAATGTGGGTCGGTGTGGAGGCTGTGGGTTAGTATTGAATCTGTGAGTTAGTGTTGAGGCTGTGGGGTTAGTGTTGAGACTGTGGGTTAGTGTTGAGGCTGTGGGGTTAGTGTTGAGGCTGTGTGTTAGTGTTGAAGCCTTGAGTTTGTGTTGGGTCTGTATGATAAACTTGGTGGTGGCCAGGTGGCTCATAAATCTTGAGCACTAAGCTGACACCGTTGAGAATCCTGGGTTTGAATCCAGGCAGTCGCTTGTAAATAAAACCAGGTACTCAAGTGAAGTGAGTTGATGGCCTTAACCTAGTCATCAACGACTGCACAAAAAACATTACATTTTCGTTGTGCATTTAAATTGGGCAAATTCCAGCTCTTGAGAAATTCAAATATTTTTGTCACTCATGTGACGAACGTGTCTCGGTGACAGAACGGGTAGAAAAGTGCTACCCCCCCCCCCCCCTACTGTGTGGAATGGAGGTCACTTGAAGGGATCCCAGAGCTAGCTCTGTAATAGTCGCTTTGTTGGACATTCTCCAGCAGAAAGGGTTGCACTCCTATACGAGATCATGACTTAATTATTATTTGGTTAAATTGGCCAAGGACTGGTTCAGATATCGCTCGCTTACTGACAATTGGGCCATCTCCACATCTATTCCATGCAGTCATTTAAGTCCTGGTTCACGTCTTATTAACGCTGTGGTGCTTCCATGTTTATCATCTATTCCCCCACCCCCCTCTCCTCTTCTTGTGACATGTGGTAGCCACTATCTGAGTTGACTTTCATCTCATTTGAGACGGGCAACCACCACCTTACTCCATGTCTCTTAATTTCTGATCCGATTCAATACGGTGATCCCTGAGATCCGTCTCATCATCCTCGTTTCTATGGAGCACGTAGTCTTCTCCCTTGCTTTTTGTGCAGTGACAGAAGGCTCATACAGACCTGTAGAGTAATTCTGGCTTTGTTACTGCATTATATACTTTACCCTTGATGTCAAAATCCTCCTGTCACACACCATTGCACTGATGTTTCTTCACAATGTGCTACGGCATCAAATATGGGGTTATCTGTACTCTCCTTTTGAGTCTGTATCATAAGCTTCTTTCCTGAGGCCATGCAAATTATTGGGGTTGTCTCTGTTTTCCGTATAAATTGAAGTAGGGGATAAGCGTTTTTCTGAATTTAATAAAGATACCTAAAAAGTCAACACATTCAATTTTATTTTTACAGACTTTTTTTGTTCCAGACTGTTGGAACTGGTTCAGCGAGAACAGATTTGATGGTTTCTTTTCAAACAATTGTGCCCTCACACCCACTCCTCCCCAAAGTATGGGCTTGGTGGTGACAGTGAGCAGAAAGGAGTCTCGGCTCATTTTGTAAACAGCTTTGCGGCAATCCTAGCAGCTCATGACATTTTTTTTACACAAAAAAACATGTCGTGAGCGCAAAACATGCCCGAATAAACCTGAATAATAATAATATTGCAAACTATGTTTCTTTTCAAAGATAACCCACCATAGGACCGTGGCGTTTTTTCGCCATTGGCTTTGGCCACCAGCTACGATGAGAATCTCCTCTTTGCTCTTGAATTTGAACGGTGAACTGCATTTCCTTGTAATTTCACAATATCTTGCAACCCTTGGTCTATCCACTACTTGAAGAGGGGGCTTCCCCACGTCATGTCCTACGTGGCGGTCCATTGACCATACTTCACGAAAATGTTTTTACTTCGGGGTCCAAATTTGGCAAGTTTTTAAATTACACGGCACTTTGCTGGGTTGGGATCACGGATAGCAGCAATCATCACACCCTACTGGCAGACTAATGTTCCAGGTCACTCTTGCAAATGCGGTTATCCTTGTCTCTTGAATTGTCACTTGGTTAAACAAAATAAACTTTTAAACCTCACCACACTAGTTGGTATCTATGCTGCCAAAGTGAGGGGGGGGGGGGTTGCCCAGGATATGTTTCCGATATCACTCGCCACAGATGGTCCGCGAGATATCCGAAAAGTGACTTCATCTCTCATGATACCACACTGGTATACTATTGGAAGGAAACTAAGTTGAAATTTAAATAAATATTTTTCTAAGCAGTAGCTACTGCTATCCCAACGTTCGTGGATACCACACACACAATACAATTTACATAAACCACCTTGAAAAAGTAAAGGGCCTCTTTGTATTAAACATGTTTCTGGTAGGGCTAATGCCTGCGTGCAGGTATGGCTTTGAGAGCTGGACTTTGGAAAGCAATAAAGATATATGTAGATAATGATATGTGTTTCAATGTAATTGGGATTTTTTTTTTTACGAGAGTGTCAGGAAAACTTAGGCTTAATCAGGAAGAGATTGCGCCTCTGGCAAGACCATGTGTGGGAGTATTGCAGCACGCGCTGTAGGTTTCTTTGTGTTTGCGTACATGTGGTTTTGCTTAATTTTTTTCCCCCCTTTACAAAAGTCGGTTATTGTGTTTTGCGTGTCCAAAGTGGGGGGGGGGGGGGGGGGGGAGAATGGCACAGTTGGGCAAGTCTCGGCATCGCCTGGGTACTGTTTTCACTTTTATTGTTTCCCTTTCTTTGTGCACCCAAAGGTTTACGACGTGACCGTGATTTATTCTGACTCCCAGTCCTCCTATAACGAGTCATCGGACGCAGAGTTTCCAGAAGAGGTAACAATATTTCTGTTGTTTTTAGTATGTCCGTAACTGTTAAACCTGTGCGTTTACGTACATTTTGTATTGAACCCGTTTACCCGAGTTCGAATCTTCGCGGCAGCCAACATCGGTGATGAGTGATGTCTTGGCCTTCCTCCATACCAACCCACACTGGCCAGCGTGGTGAAGGATGTCTTAGAATCCATCCATATATTGCATGCTGCAGACTGTCTTAATTCCTTACTAAAATGACTATAAGCCAAATTATTAAAAGTGTTCCTTACTGAAAACTACACATTTATAGACACTTAATTTTAAATGGGTGGATGTCATTTTGATGGACTGACCCATGGCATTGGATTTTGGAATTTTCACCACTGGCTCAAACACAAATCACCCTGTGCTTCATTGAGCTTGGAGACACTTTGACATTGACTTTGTTTCCAGCATAAAATTATCTGCAGGAAAACCCCGATTTATGTCTTCACCCCTTTTACGTCCATAATTACCAATCTCTTCTTTCAAATTAAGCCACTGCACACGCTTCATTCGTGGACCTGACGGTTGGTGATCACTGAAAGCTGTACTATAGGGGGCTGCGAGGACTGAACTTGGGGAAACACTGCTGTACAGTGTCATTGGTGATTAGTTTTAGAAGTAAGTTCAAAGATATCCCCACGGACATCTTTTCACACCGTTTAGAAACCGTTGTGCCCACTGAAAAAAAGCATTTGTGGTGTAACATTTTCTTTGGCACTTGATAAATTTGCAAGTGAACGTCCTTGTCGTCGCTTGCGCAAGTAATGTTTCAAAACATTGCCTGGGTGGTTTGACCCATTGTTGATGACGCAGGTGAAGGCACGTTCTCGCAAAAAAAATTTCAAAGGAGAGGAACATTGACCAGCAAATGAATCCGACCAATAGAGTTTGCGTGCTCAATCGGGGCAGTGTTCATATCAACTGGTAATCAATGTGAGAAATTCCACATTCTGCAGGTACATTCAGTACAGCGAGCGCTGTTGGCTTTCAACAAAGTGCTACGCATTTCATCTCGACAGATGAGGAAGAAAAAAGTCTCGACAGCAGGCATTACCTTTCTGCCCCACAACTGGGTGTTTCAGGCTTACGGCCCCAAAATTATGATTAGTATAAAATGCACAACTTCCCTTAAACCCGCACTGACCAGCGTGGTGAAGTAGAGTCAAATAACCCTCACGCCCTACACGGGCATGAGAGGCCCACATCCCGGAGTGGGTTGGCAATAGGGCTATACATGCAACATGGTAGTCGGAACTAGACTCAAACGATGTAAATAACCGTAGACTCTGCTCAAAGTGCCCAGATGAGCATCGTGGCGGGGCTTATTTATTTGTGGCCCAGAGCAAGTGTGGTAAATACCACATTCCCGTACGGGAGGCTCAGACAGCCATAGGACAACCACTGTTGACTGGCTGGAAATTTGCACTCGTTTCATCGACTTGGATTTGAGTTAATCTTATTGTGGGGCAGTTGCTGTTAAAGGGTTCCAGATAGTCACTTTAAAATCAGCATTCTTGTGCCATTTTTGGTTTCTCGACTCGTAGGGAGGCTATGAAGCTATTTACGAGACAGACTGAAAAATGTTACAAGAAATAATGTCTATGGGAATATCTGTTTAAATTAAAGCAAGACAAAAAGCGGAATATAAATACTGCAATTGTTTTCACGTAGATGTGTGCCTCGGCATATGTCCTGAAGAACCTTTAGTGATATCACTGCGGTGAATAATTCAAAGGTATGGCAATCACTGTGGTGGAATGACTGAAAGTCAATTTAATGTCCTTCCCATTAATGAAGCTGCTTCCACCTCTTGTCAAACAGCCCGCACACAACCCCCGGCGCTTGGCCACAAAATTAAACTTTTGTAAGGAGTATAACTCTCTTAAAAAATTATCCAATATGAACGAAAATGCATGATTAAGTTGTTTTGCTGTTTGAGACTTGCCCTATTGAATACTGGCAAACGTAGTCATGAGAATTTACCAAAACTTTGAGACTCAAATCGGAGCAAAAAGAACTTTGCGACTATGCAATCGCGTTTTGCGGTGAAAGCTACCCATCGGCTTCAGTCCTGTTAAATACATACCATCTGAAAAATGTTATGCAAAATGTCATAAAAAAACACTAATTGTGGAATACGAAATAACAGAACGTTGACGCGCATCGCTCGCCGCCCCTGCTTCTCGCACGCAGGATGGGTGGCGCTGCACCGAGTGCTCGGAGACCAACCACCCGATGCACGGCTATTGCCAGCGATGCTGGTGCCTCCGTAAGGACTGGCTTCCTGACGCTGCCCAGCAGCAGCAGCAGCAACAGGAGCAACAGCAACAGCAGCAGCAGCACACGACCACGACGACGACAACAACGTTGCCGACAACGATGGGGTCGCCCGCTGCCCCGAGGGGCGTCTTCACTATGCCGGGCATCGCTACCGCCCTCTTGGAGGAAGCGCTCGCACGAGACATCGATTCGGACGACGGCCACGACGAGATTGACGGCAGGAGGAGCAAGAAAGCGGCCGATGAGGACGATGAGTATGAGAAGGTGTATGAGAAGGTGTATGAGAAGGAGTATGAGAAGGAGGAGGAAGCGGGGATGCGGGGCCCATCGGGAGCGGCGACGCACACATTACGCTGCGGCTCGGAGGACGAACAGGAACCGGAAGAAGACGAATACGAGGAGGACGTTGACGACGATGGCAAAATGAAGAAGTCGTCAAAATCGGAGGCGCTGCAGCCCGCTGACGTCGTTTCTGCCGCTTCCTCGGCTTCCGCGAGCTCCGCCTACCAGAACGACGGCAGAAGCGGCTCGGGCGGCGCCAACAACGCGTGCACGCTGCTGGATATGTGCATCATCTGCCAGCACGAGCCCAGGAGCTGCACCATCGTGCACGGAAAGACGGGCCACCTGGTGACGTGCTACATGTGCGCCAAGAAGCTGAAGCGCCGTAATAAGCCTTGCCCCGTGTGCCGCAGCCCCATCCAGGCCGTCATCAAAACGTACCTGCTGTGAGATGAACCCGGCACCGCCGTACCTCGCCATCGTGGGCTGGCACCGAATGCCCTGGCTCAGCCCTGTTTGCCGAGACTGCATTTGCGATCCTCTGGGAATCGCGCCATGATGCCCGACAGCTTCTTTGTCCATCTGCTCCGTTTCAAACTAACCCCCCCCCACACCCCCTGTTTATTTTTTTATCTGGAAGTTGACACTGAAAATGTTATCAACTATTTAAAAGGTAGCAGATTTTTGTTGTTGTATAGATTGGATGTCAAAATAGCCTCAGTCAAATATAGTTTTTTTGGAAACTAAAGGATTCTGAAATTGGTCTTAAATGATAAATACATCGTGAGGATTACTCTGACTTTTCACCTTTAACCAACAGACGTTCAAGTACAGTTAGGCCCTCTACATAAATGTAAACGCGGATGCCTTTTACCTGTATAAGGGGTTCTCGGTGAGCCATAGCCAGCTATTAACTGCCAAGGAGAGGCCAGAGCGCTTTTGTTGGGTTTTTACAAGGCTCAGCAAACCAAGCTATCGACGGCAGCTATGACCTCCCAAAGTGTTACAGGCCCAGGAGATCACAGCTGCCCCGTGGGGATCCTGAAAGTTAACAATGGAGTCGTAGTAGATTATGTTAACCCTATTTCAGTGGTATGTTTACTGACAATCTGCTTAAACCTTTTTTGGCTGATGGGCCTTAAGAGATGGATTAAATAGTCCAGTCGTATTACATGTTTTTTTTATAAACTCACTGAAGCAACTTTAGCATAATCTATAAAAGGGTGTCGATCTTAAAAACAAAGTTGATTAGACGCATTCAAGTTTTGCGACAACTTTCTCACTACATAAGACTTGGCGTGCAAAGGTGAACAAACAATAGCCCCCATTCCCCACTAAGTGGCGGTGACGGCACTTGTGCCAGGTTGGGTGCACTCCGAGGAACACACACACGGTAAGTGCCACAGACAAACACGCGTGCTCGTGCATGAGTGATCAGAGGGTGGGAATTGAGGGAGAGGAGAAAGAGGTGATGCGTCCTATATTTTGGTGACTCGATTTTGGATTGTCCACCTGAAGCCTGAGAGCTGCCATTGAAATAGGGTGACTTTGTTGGAGAAAGTCTTTTTTTCTGGTGCTGCATTTGCCAGTGGTCCTTTGCGAACTCGACAAAACAATTCAAGTGAAGAAGAAGAAGAAAAAGAGAAGAAGAAAAGCGTTTTATTGCAAAAAAATAATAATAACCACCAGTGTTGCTGTTTTGTTGTTGAAAAATACTTTCAGCACAGTAACGATGTAGATTAAATCTCAAGTTGCGTTTGTTTTATATTTTGAATTATTTTTTTATATCATAACATAGAGTATATATATGATTCCTCTAATCTAAATTGTTAATTCCCAACTACCCAGCAGTTAGCGTGGAGTCAGTTTGTCGCTCCTCGAGTGTAGATTATGCTCGTGTCGGTGTCGCGAGCGATGATTATATCGCTTGTAATTTCTGGTCTGAGCGTTTTTTGTTTTATCCCAAACGGGGTTGCTCGTTCAATCCGGCTATTAACTCCGATCGCAACCGGAAGGATCTCGGCGAGCCTAGAGAAGCATAAGATAACGGCGTGACGCGACGTGATGCGACTTCCTTTGACACATTGATGTCAATCTTGCTGAAATTAATGAATCAACATTTGGTGGTGGGGTGTTGAGCAAGATATGACCTTATGATCATCACTGACTCACCACATCGACAGAGCCCTTCCATGATTGCACCATCACTCAAAATAGTCCAGTGTAACGTTAGCGTCACATCATTGTGCGATGGTCTCGGTGGCACATGCTTTGTCGCTGCTTTGTGTCGTCTTAAGTTATTTGATTGATAACAGCAAGGCTTGTCATTGGTTTTGTTCAAGGGCCCCAGAGATTTGATTTGACATTATATTTGACTTGATGTCCCACCAGTGGCATGGATCTGATTCACTCAAGTAAGTGTTATCATCTCACGTGTGCTCCCGTGTTATCAAATGTCTCTCTAGACTCCCCAAAATGATTTGCTCGACAGTTAATAGTTCATTGCGGTTTAGAATGGGCGAGACTTTAGAAGAAAAAAAATCCCGCGTCATTCTATGAAAATCGCTGTCTATGAACTGGGCTTAATGCCATCACCTGTTTTTGCATTTGTATTTTTCCCCCCCTATGTTATTGGCAATATGAGACGAGGAGCTTAGTTGCACTTTACAATCGCTTGGTCGCCCTTATGAATATCTTCGTTTCAACAAAGCAGCTGCGTATGGCTTTGTGAGCAATGGTGTCAGTGCTGCGGGAATTAGTTAATGTTTTGTTACTTTGTTTATGTAAATTCAAAGATGTCCCCACAATCGACAAGAGGTCGGAAGGCCCACCATCCAGCAATGGATTAGGTGGGAGCTGAATATTTGTTATTTAAATCTTAATGAGGGGAAATAATCAGTCAAGTATCTAATTTCCTCATGAACCCCCCCCCCCCCCTTAGTTTTCCTTACTAATCCCGAAACTTAACCTTGCATCCCTCTCGTGCTTATATTGTGACCGATAATTTTTTTGTTGTTTTGTGTAACGCTAAATTAATTTATATGTCCATTTCAGTTTTTGCTTTGTCAGGCAGTGAAAAAGAAAAAGCAAATCCTTAATCGTGAAGCAAAGTTTTACCCGTGAACTTCACTCGGCGATATTACCCTTGTCCGAGTGACCTTTGAAAAAAACAGCAGCTTAGCTTAATAGGCTTCACCGCAAATAAACTCAACTCACTCGGGAAGCTTTACAAGAAAGTTGTTCCATCTGCGGTCGAGTTGGAAGCAAGTTACTTTGGACTTGCCAAGGATTTTAACAACGCTTGAATTGCGCCGAACATGTGCGACTACTTTGGTGTGCTTTTTCACCAAAAACCGAAACTTGATAAAAGTCGATTCATTCCAACTGTTGAGATAACCTTGTAAGTAACGTGACTGATTTGTGACATCACGCATTGGCAACGATGAGCGATTTGCTTCGTCTTTACATGTTCCCTACTTGGGTTGTGATTTTCATTTATTACTCCAACACAAGTGAGCATATTTGTGGTTCAGATCTCAACTGCCAAGTGTAATTATTTTGAAAATGTTTTCCCAGTTGGCAACATGTGGCTTTCCCATTCACCACAGTTTGTAAACAATATGATATTGAGTTTCATGATCACTGCCAATTTTTGCAAGTGTTTGATAAAAGAAGATATATATTTAAAAGTGCTTCATTTAAGATGGCTGGATTGCTCAAAAGGCTAATTGACTGTCAGGGCCCCAAGTCAGCAGCGCTGACATCCTGGTTTAAAATGCCCTAGTTCCTGTCACTGGTGATTAAACTAGGTGTGTAAGGCATGTTGCAAATGCATTGTCTAAGCCCAGTCACCAATAATGACTGCACTTTATTTTTTATTTCACTTAATTTGTACAACTTAAGCTGTGGAGGCTAAAGTTTAACATACTCGATTGCATGATTTTAATGCCAAAAACCAATCCTATAAAGATACATTTTTTTTGCGCCGTCTTATGTTGGGTCCGTGCCTTGTAATCTTATCACATGGCTTGCAATATCACATGGCTTCTCATGGTGTAACAATGGGGATTAAAATAGTGGAAAACATGTATACACTTAAGTTCTTTCAAATTGAAAACTTTTACCACCAGTGTTTGTTAATTATATCAACGTTAAGTTCAAAGGGCACTCTTCACAGGACACATAATCGAATGAGTATCTCTTGTCTACAAAGCGGCTACTGCAGACCCCCGTCGCATATCCGTGCTCAAAATGCAACAACCAGGAGCATATAGTAGGCAAACTCGCCAGCTATCTCATCCAGAGGGTGGGCCGAACGCGCAAGGCAGTGTTATGACATTCATAGCACTAGGCTGCGGAGAGATTGAGGCTGATGAGCTCGGTTTTTCCCACCAATGTCTTTTCAGTGCAAAGCAAAGTTGTCCGTGCTTTGCAGCCGATTGTTTCACAACGCACATCAAAACTCCCGCATCAAACCACCACAACTGGTGCCATCGCTCTCCGCTCACGGTACCCGGTGTGGTGGAGCAGGGGGCCTACTTCACAGTCGCATCACTGTGTTGATACGGTGATGAATATTAGGAGCAGCGTGAAGTGTGACATTTGGCAAGCGGCGCTGAGGCTCTGTTGTGTGTGTGTAGGGCGCATTCGTTGGCCAAGGGAGTCTGTACCACCCTCCGTGTGGTGGCTACTCACTGCCTGGCACAGCTAACCACCATCTCGGAGCTAGAATGTCTAGTGGCCCTTGCGTATTTGGTATAAAAATTCAACGGCATGCCCCCCCCCCTACCCAGTTTGCCTCTTAAGTTTTAGCGGCCGTTGGCAACCGCTCGTTATTAATTTCCGAGCAACCCTGAATTGGAATGTTCCGCTTGGTGGAAAATGATTGCACGCAGGTTGCAGACAATTCCCACCAAAAATGGCTTAAATGGTGTTTCCTGCCGAAATGTGAATCTGACCTCGCATTAAGTGGTCGCCATTGCGTGGAAATTCGATCTTTTTTTTGCATTGATCAGTCTGCCTACAGGGGGACAGCCGCTGTTTTTTTGGCAGACCTAGGGTCGGTTATATTTACGATTACAACAACAATGTAAAATACTGATTTCATTGTCTATCAAATTAATTACGAAATGCGCAATTACAATGCTATTTAACCCCCCCCCCACTCCCCCGGGTTTGCTTGAATGATAATGAGGCTGTCAACCCTGCCAAGGATTTGAACTCGTGTTCAGACAGCTGAGCTCCGCTGTTCTACAAAGGTGGCTGTAATCCATTATTTGATTACATTTATAATTATGATACTGGTGGCATTTACATATATGTATAATTTAATAACCAATGTAAGTAGGATTTGAGTGATGAAAGGTAACGTGATTGTGATCTGAGGGGCACGTGTTGTATAGGGTTTGCGGTGGCGCTTGTGCAGCTTTATGGAAATAAATCCAGATTTTGAAGTGGATAATAATGGTGTGGTTTCCTCATCGTGACCATGAATAAGTGTACCTGTGCATTTATTTATACTGGAGGAATCCGATGAGCTATAACGCTCTTCCTCACAGATGTCCAACAGACATTGTTCAAACAAATTGTGGTAATTCAGGACTTTTGGCTTGTGGATTACACAATGATTTGTGGGCGCGAGACTCCAAACCTGCTGAGCTGAAAGTTGGGCATTGGCAGTAAAACAAGTATGGCGTCTGATGTTTCGTGGTTGGCTTTTGATTGTTATCTCCCTCTGTGCACTGCTGTTTTTCTAACATACAGAGCTGTAGTCCGGTAGATTTCGGAAGATCACACTAGAGTTTGATCCCCACTCGGAGATCAGCCATCTAATGTGCAGGCGGTGAAATTGCAACGTGGCCTATAGGGGCTTGAGGTGCCCAGATGCTGCCCTGCGGTGACATTGGGGGGGGGGGGGGGGGTGGGAGTGGCATTTAGTTCCTTGCACCAAGGCCCATGCACACAACGCTCCACCACTGAGACGAAGACGGCAAGAGAGACGAAACAATGGTAGAATATCGTGTTCGAGGCCTCATAAGAACTGGGCTTACCGTGCACATGTTACACACGTGTGGAGACGGCAATCGCCACGTGCGAATCACACGTTAACGAATTTGCCCGAGCATTGTAGATAAAATCCTAGCACAAGACACTCAAGATTGCTTAGGTGATTGTCAAAATTGTCACCCAACAATCTGAGCTGACCAGTTGTGCTCGATCAGTTTTACGACCAAATATCAATCACGCACGCACATAAGCAAAGACAAAGATCCCCCCTATAGCCTAAACAGACTGCTTGGGGCAAGTGCTGTTCGCGAGGACCTATGAATGCCAGCATGGCACAAGGGGGGAGGGGTGGCGAGCACCACGCCCGACAGCCTTTGTCTCCCCAGTGCTGATGTTGACACATTGCACCGGGTAGACTGAGTAGACCTATGGGAGGGCCGGGACCAGTTCAAATATCTGCTCCTGTTATTGGTCGTGAGCGGCAATGGAGCTTGGGCTGACAGGTTCGTAGCGCAGTGTGCTAACCGCTGCGCCACCGCTCCTCAACACAAACCTACACATTTGCACACACAAATGCGTCCATACACACAAAAACACGACCATGTCTACACGTACACTTTACGTGCACGCACGAGTTTCTTTGCACCCTCCAGCCGCTCCAGTTTGGCCGTGTTTTTAAACAACACATCACAATGTGTTAAAGGCACACAGTCGTTTGTGAATTGTGAGGTGAAAAAAACTCCACCCATCAGCATGTCCTGAAGAGAGGTGCTTGGCGGAGCATTGCAATCCTCATTGTGGTAAAAAAAAGGATCCGCAGTTGTCCACTGCATCACTGCTGCTGTCGGTCGGTCACATTTGCTGACGTTTATTGTGGTGGTGATCTCAGACAACAGGACCACAATGCACTTCCTTTGGGTTTCCAAGCTGCACCGTTCTGTCATGGGGGGTTTCTCGCCATTTACAGATTTGATTCTCGTGGCCATGTATCTGATAGAGGTCTTACTTTGACAGGTCGAAAAAAACTGATGTTCAACATCATCCTTTCGGCACATCGGCATCTTGCTCTTCACGATCATCACACGCTTTATAAATCCAAACGTCTAGTGCATTGTCCAAGGCAGACCTTAAAAACCAGCGGCGTGAAATGAAGCCTGTAAAAGCATCCATTGAAGGTCGAGTGTGACTCCCAACAGTTATTGAATACGGCAGAATGAACGAAATACCGGCAGAGCGTGGTGACATCAAGAGCATCTGACACAATGGCTTTCATTAAGTTGTATTCGATCTATCAGTACTGTTTGTCATGTTGCCTAATTTATCACGTGCTAAAGGTGTCACGACACGAGAGATACCTCCGGATTTCTCGAGCGTGCAACCCTTTCTGTTTCGGAGAACGGCCCACAGAACTAGCAACTGCAGATATACCTATGAGATACCTGCAAATGATCTCTGGTCGACACGATGGAGTAGTGTTCGTAGCATGGCAGTAAAACTGCCATTTTTCGATTCTCAGAGCTGGAATTTACAACTTTTGATGATTAAAGAAAACGTCGAATATCGTGTGGAATTTTCTTTTATTTAGTTACCGGGCCCACACCCATGAGCTCACCTATGCTAAGCCAGGTCAGCGCTCTGACCTCTGAGCCATCTGGGCCACCTTATATTAACTATATATGAAAAAGTAAAACTCAACAAATTAAAACTAGATTCGAAGCTTTCGTAACTGCAGGAATTACTCTGGCTCTTTCGGTAAAGTCACGTAGAAAATAAAAAAATAGAATACGACGTTTCGATTGCAACACAAACAACCATCATCAGGTAAGAATGAATGATAAAACACAGACACGGAAACAACATAGGCAGACACATGCAGAGAGAGACACACACAAAGACACACCGAGCGAGACACTCACCAAGACAAACATAAGGACAACGACTGTGCCGAGGCCTTAAGTAGAGAGAGGGGGCAGAGAGAGGACTGGGGAGGCGGACACACGAGGGGACCAGCGGACAAGGAGGGAGCAGCGTGGAATTCCAGACCACAGTGGCCGGAGGAGAGACTGGTTTAGAGCAAGAAAATCGAAAGTTTGATAAAAGCAAATTTAGTAAAATTAAGAAGTTTAATGCAATGCAACAACAAATTCGTCAATCCCACTGGCCTTAAAGTAAAATCAATAGACGGCGTTTTGGGCTAATGGCACTTCTTCATAGCACATAAATATGAATTGCATCATCATCGCCCTGATTAATTGGGTAATTGCATGACCGGATTTTGGTGTTTGCGAGAAGCTTCAAACTTAACATCGGTGCCTGTGTATTGTAGGTGGGGCACCGTTTCCAGTTTAATACATTCCAGGAACTATTGGATTTGGCTCCGCGGTCTCTTAACTGCATGTAGCGGTACGAGATCAAACGGTGTGGTTTCTGGTAAATGTTATAGTCCAAAGAACATACTCCCCCATTTCTCAACCCCAATTATCGTTGTACTCTGGTTAAAAGGTTGCCAAAAAATATATACAAAAACAAATCTTTACGCTCATCTGGGAAATGTGCCCTGCAAAGGAAAAGTTCCAATGAGTGCCTTTGCCCTGCTTTGATGCAATGATTGCAAAGGAACCATGGACTTTTTCAAATGACGTGTAACACACTGAAAGGTGCACCAAAGAGGCGTGCGTGGTGAGATGCATGATTGGGTTTGCAATCAGAGGTAGACAGGGGGACGTGTGGATTCGAGAATATGTACCCAAGTTACAGGAATAACATTGACGTTAACGGGCAAGGACCCTCTTTTAATTGTGGGCCATAGTTCCAACGCAAAAAAAGTATACCGAAACCTCACCCAATCGCGGGTTTTCCTATTTTGGATTTGACCATTCTCGACAAATTTATTGAGGTTCAGTTCGCCGATCGCTCACCTGTGGCTCGACCATTCGCGGTTCACCGCGAGATTCGTAAAGATGTTCCCTACAGATACTCTAACTGCACTGCTCGCGACGAAGACCCCCCCGTGTAGAAGAATACACACGCCGTCTTGTCTATACCCTGTCTCCCACGCGAACACAATTTCGACTTGAGAAAAGCGAATGGCACTGGGCAGGATGCGTCGCTGGGAGGGACAATGTCTAAACTAAACCTTTTTTTACGTACCAGGTAAGGTCCACTGCGCTATGCTGCTCTTTTTCAGAAGCGACCTGGCCACAAATGATAGCTCAACGAAGTGGCTTATCGCGTGGAAATGTATATAAGCAGCCAAATACTCTATCTAGACGCGTGATGTTGATTCTAAATGTGGAGGGGGGAAACCGGAGGACCGATGAAAATCCACGCGACCACGGGGAGAGAGAGACATGCAAACTCCAAATATACAGCAGGCGTCAGGGTCGGCAACGAGCCCACGACCTCCTTTCTGTTTACCATGCCACCAGGACATGTTTACAATGCCACCAGGACATGTTTGCCATGTCACCAGGACGTAGTAAACAGGAAGGAGGTCGTTCGCCATCTCCTAGTGATCGAGACTGACGAGGGAGTTAATTTTGACTTAAAACTTTCGTGACTGCAGGAATTCATATTATTTGGTTCTTTCGGTAAAGTCACGTAGATAGAAAAAGTAATAATTAAAAGAAAGTGAATAAAAATATAAATGAAATAAAAATAATAAAAACAAAAAACCACTAATGTAGACTGTAGCCTGGTTCTTAATCTCGGTGAGCGTACTGGAAGTCTATAATGTAGGCTGTAGCCTGGTTCTTAATCTGAGTAAGTGCACTGGCAGTCTATAATCTAGACATATTCTGTTTCTTTCAGTAATAAAATAAAATTAACATGAAAAAATTTAAAAACCACGACGTTTCGATCGCAACACAAGCGATCGTCATCAGGAAAAGGGGGGTTAGCCTCTAAAGGCAAACTGTTTATAAAGGTTTAGAGATGGGCAGAGCCTAAGTGTGTCAGCAGCATGGGCGGGGCAGCTGATGTCAATGTTCGAGAAAACCCCGACACCGGCAGGAGGCCTATACCAATCAAAGCATTGTACCTCGCTCCACACACCCACACTGCTAACGGTGGAGGTTGACAAGAAAACACAAATCAAGTCACAACCCAAAGTGGTTGATGACATCTTTCCAATGATTGCTGAGCTTATAACCATCCTCTCGGTTGAAATTATGCCTGTGTCTGTACATATGGATGACTTCATGGACGAATCTTTGCTCATAGCCAGTAGAATGGCAGCCAAAACGAGGATGGACCCAACCATAGCGGCGAGGGCGTCCGTTGCGGAGATGAAGCGGTGACATCGGCGCTCAGGCAGGTCCTAAATGGAGCGTTTTATCTGCCAACCCGTGGTCGATGGCGACGGCCAACAGTAGATAGAGCAAGCAAAGACCGTACGAATAAGCCGGCATCGCTATTCATGAGCTGCGCGCCGAGATTGAAATGCGATTGGTT